CAAAATTATTGATAAAAATGATAAATATTAATAATTAAAATCATAAATTCTTTTATCTTTTTATAAATAATTTTTTCTAATCCCATTGATAAGCAATTCTCCCAAAATTTTTAAAACTAAAACACTGCCGTAGAATAATAATGATACTGATTGCTGTCATTGATCATGTAAATTATTTCCATCATGTTTTTTTTTTCTTTTTCCAGAACACCCAAGACAAGACTCTTAAGATTTACCCTTACAAGTTAAGGGGAGGAAAGTTATTCGATCCACCTAAACAATCGAACTTCCACTTGAATAGTAGGGAATTAGACTCTTAGAATCCACCCTTACAAGCCAAACTTGAGGAAAGCTATCCGATCCACCTAAACAATTGAACTTTCACTTAAATAGTAAGGGATTCGAATCTTGATCAGTAAAGAGAGAAACAAACTCCCTTACCAATTAGGATGACCCTTTAATATCTATTTCCATCATCTCATCCTACGTTTATTCCTTAATTGAACAAGTCAATTACTACAAGGCTTCCAATCAAAAAATATATATATTTATTAGTACAAATGTTGTGTGTTGTGTATCGTGGAAAATTATTTTGAGCGGGCTGGCTTTTTTTGCTTTAGTTTTTTTTTTTTTAAATTTTTTTTATATAAATATTTTTTTATCATTTGAAAAAAAAAAAAATTGTTTTCAACTTCTACTCAACTAGGTAGACTAGACAAGTAAAAAAAAATATATATATATATAAAAATGGGAAAAAAAGTCCACTAAATACAGAATTTTTAAAAAATTATATTTTTGCCCTTTTTGTATTTATTAATTTTTTTTTTTAATTATACTCTTTAGATCCTTCTCCGCTAGTCGGATATGAAAATTTTTAAATTTTTTTTTTGACACAAATAAAAAAAACCATAATTCCCTTCATATTGTAAATAATATCCATTAATAAAAATAAATAAATAAAAATATAAAAATTAAAGTGTGTCTCTGCAAGTGCAACCCTAGCCTTATTAATGTGAAGAAATTTGACATGACATGACATGATGATAGGTTAATACTATAAGAATCCAAATAGCTTGATATGATGGTCCCTTTTGAGAAGTGAGTTATAATTTACTTTTCAGATTATAATCCATTTCTTCTCTCACAAAAAAATTGCTTATAGTTATAACTATTTTCCTAAAATAGCCCATAAAAAATAAATAAATTGAATCAATATTTGGCAAAATTTGATGCCAAACCAAAATCATACCAACAAAATCAACATGCAATAAGTAAATTTTTTTAACTGGAATAGTATCAAAATATTATATTTTAATAATATTTATGCCAATTTTATTTTTTATTTTTCTTTCAAAATGTCAAATAAAAATACATAGATTCCATCGTACAACATAACAAGTAAAAATAAAGACTTGTTAAATTTTAGATCTAGTTGGACTTTATACAAAAATATAACATAAAGTTTAACTATTTTTTAGGATATAATTAGAAGGGAAAACGTGTAAATTTGGAAAAAAAAATTTAATTATTGTTAAAGTTTATGAACTTTAATAATTAAAGTGTTAAATTTTATTATGAATTTATAATTATTTTGGAAATGTGTAATTCCCCTGGAAAAGCTCTTAATACACGCAACAACAATAACAATAAAAAAAATAGTAAATTATAAATACACCTACTGAGTTTTGATTAAAATACAAATTATTCTGTAGTTTTGAAAATTATATTTCATTCCTGAGGTTTCTAATTTCATAACAAATCGCTCATTTTTCTAATAAATTATCAAGTCAATTGACAGTTTTTAATAATGTTAGAAATATGTTTCAATTAATAATTTAAGTAATTTTATTATTGTATAGGAGAGCAATTATGAATTTTATTTTTTTACTTAATTCTGTTAAATAAAATTTTTTAATAATGAGATATTTATAATTTTTCAAATCACAAGATGCAATTTATACTTTAAGTAATTCTTAAGAGGTATATTTATAATTTATCCATAAAAAAGTAAAATAAATTGTATTAAAAAGAAAGAAAAAAAAAAAGAGAAGAGTATTATAGTAAAATTAATCAGCATTAGCAGAAATAAAAATCTATATATGAAATTATAAGAGTTATTTATATCAAGATCTCTTAAACTATTAAAAGTATCACTTTAATCTATTAAATTATAAAATTATACAAGTAAACTTCTAAACTATTAAAAAGTGTTGAAGCATATAAATGAATCTTTTAAATTATTAACGTGTTTCATTTTGACCAATTTTGTTAGTAGGTATAAGTTGTATGCTTTTATAGTTTAAATGGTTAATTTGTATGCCTTTTGTAGTGTAAAGGATAAAATGATACTTACGCCAAGTTTGAAAAGATAAAAAAAAGTCAAAAAATGAAAAAATTATTCAAAAAGTTAAAAAGTTAACACTATTCTCTTACAAACCAATTATTACAATTTTTAATACATATTTTTTCATAAAAAGTAAAAAAGTTAACACAAACATCTATATTTTTTTCCTAAATTTTTTAGTCCAAAAAGACAAAAAGTGCACTTATTTAGGACATCCCAAACAAACCCTTATAAAAAATGTAGGGATGTATTGTACAGTTTTGTAATTTAAGGAGTTAAAATATATATTTATGAATAGTTTATGGGTCGTCCTGTAAATGACACTAAACATAAAATTCTGGCACAACATTGACAGAGAATGAACTTTAATAATTAAAGTGTTAAATTTTATTATAAATTTATAATTATTTTGGAAATGTGTAATTCCCCTGGAGAAGCTCTTAATACACGCAACAACAAAAACAATAAAAAAAGATAAATTATAAATACATCTTCTAAATTTTAATTAAAATATGAATTATCTCTTATAATTTTAAAAATTATATTTCATCTTTGAGATTTTCAATTTTATAACAAATTGTCCATTGTATTAATAAATTATCAAGTCAATTAATAATTTTTAATTATGTTAAAAATATATTTTAATTAATAATTTAAGTAATTTTATTATTATACAGGAAAGCAATTATGAATTTTATTTTTTTAATTAATTCTGTTGAATAAAAAAATTATGACAAATGAATATGGATAAGTTTTCAAATCACAGGTGATAATTTGCACTTTAACCAAACTTTAGGGAGTGTCATAAAAAAGTAAAATAAATAGTATAAAAAAGAAGAAAAAAGTGTATTATAGTAAAATTAATCAACATTAATAGAAATAAAAATCTATAAATGAAATTATAAGAGTTATTTATACCGAGATTCCTTAAATTATTAAAAATTATCACTTTAATCCATTAAATTATAAAATTAGACAAGTAAACTCTTAGGCTCTGTTTATTTTCAGAGGTAGAATAGAAATAATTAATAGTGAGGGGATTGTTAGTGAGGGGATTAAGTAAAATTGTGTTTATTTTGATGATAGTTGTTAGGAGTGGGCGCGGGTCGGTTGCGGCCACGGAATCTCCAATCCGCCATCCGTCCGTCAGATTGACGGATTGGAGAAAATTAATCCGCATCCTTCCGCCAATCCGACGGATGTGGATTGAGCGAATTGGTGGTTTGGCGGATGGATGCGAATTGGTTTGGCGGTTTAAAATTTTATAAATTTTTAACATAATTCAACTTAAGCACTTTCTCAAGAAAAAAAAAGAAAAAAAAAGAATTACAGTTAATGACTTAAAAAAATATTACAATCACTATATGCCTCATTCAAAGCAAGAAAGTTTGAAACTTTAGAATATTACAGTCACTGCATACCTCATCCACATACTACAATCACAGCATGCCTCATCCATATAAAGTATCACAATTTGTGGTTCTTAAAATATAAAAACAATTCAAACCACCAAAACCATAAACAAAGTAGTAGTAGAGATTGTATGTCTCTGTATTGTTACATCTATATCTTTTTTTGAAAATAAAAATCAACCAACATATATTATATTTTCTATTTATTATTTTTAGAGATAGATTTAAAAACAAAAAAATATAGATAAATAATACGTTTATTTTTTTCAATTCAAAAAAGATATTCAAGTTAAAAACTTTTGTTCAACAGAATATTTAAACAAACTGAAAACACAAAGTCTTATAAATTATTAGGGGTGTTCGCGGTTTGGCGGTTCGGTTGCGGCCAAAAGAATCTCAAATCCGCCATTTGTCTGCCAGATTGGTAGATTGGAGAAAATTAATCTGCAACCGTCCGGCCGTCATCACGCATCCGTCCAAAATGTGGCGGATCGGTTCGGTTTGGTCGGTTTTGGCGGATCGGTATATCCGCTGCTCATCTCTAATAGTTGTTAGTGTAGGAATTATTAAATTATTTTTATATAAATAATAAAATAAATAAAAAAATATAAAAAATTAAACATTAATTTTTTTAAAAAAATTCCCAATATGTAAAAAATAAAAAATTTCTAATTCCCTCACTATTTTTTAATACCATCTCCACTTCCTCCATCCCAATCTCCCTTCCAACCTTCATCTTAATCTCCTCTTTCATCCTAATCCCTTTCCCAACTCTACAAGCAAACACAATATTAAATAACTACACCTCCATCCTAATCCCCTCCTATCTATTACATCCCAAAACAAACGGGGCCTTAAACAATTAAAAAGTATTATTTTAACTTCTAAATTATAAAAGCGTATAAATAAATCTTTTAAATTATTAGCGTGTTTCACTTTAACTCATTTTATTAGTGGGTATAATTTGTATGTTTTTATAATTTAGAGGGTCAATTTATATGTTTTTATAGTATAAAAGATAAAGTGATACTATTGATAATTTTAATTTTAGATCTCTTGTACAGTTTTATAATTTGAGGAGTTAAAATAAATATATACATACTATTGATAATTTTAATTTTAGATCTCTTGTACAGTTTTATAATTTGAGGAGTTAAAATAAATAAATATGTATAGTTTATGGGTCTTCCTGTAAATAACACTAATTATAAAATTCTAACACATACATTGACTTTGCAGAGAATGAAAGGATGTCGTGTCCTTTGTTTACGAGTTGCGACACTTCCGTCTTTGAAATTAAAGCAACTCTCTTGAATCTTCCGATTCAAACATTGGAATACCCATGGCGTGGCGAAGACTCCAGAGCTCTTCAATGGCAGATCAACTCCTACTACTAGAGGTGGTTTTATCTACGCTCTAACCCAGTTAAACGTTTTCTCAACGATACCCAATAACTTAATTACAGTTGACTACGAAACCCATTTTCCAATTTTAATGTATGTTTACGCGGGTAGACTATTATTCTTGTTGTTGTTGTTGTTGTTTGGCCAACAATCGATATGCCTTCTCTGAGGAACTTCTTCTCTTCTTCATCTTCGTCTTCGGCTTCATCGTCTCCGTGTGATTCGCCTCTGAAACAGGGTTCTAACGATTCTAATTTCTTTAAGAAGTCAGGGTCAAAGAGGCGGCTCACGCGGCAGCGCAAGCTCCGCCACGCTACCGATGCCATGCTGGGTTTGTTTTCGACCGATCAATCTCGTTCGCTGCCGGTTTCTCCGAGTTCTGAGTCGCGATCTCCGACTAACTCCGGCAATCGGTCCAGTTTGGCTGTGCCACAGCCTCTGCCTCTGCCGGAGTTGAATACCCTTGTAAAGCAGAATGATCAGTCCAATTCGCAGTCGCCGAAAGAAGGGCCGAGCAGAGCGGAGGGAGATGGAAGGGATGGGACTGGTGGTTCCAACCCGCCAAGTTCTCCCACTAGAAGGTACTCTCTTTCTCGATTATTAATTTTCAATTTTTTTTTTTGGGGGTATAATTTTGTGTGTCTATGATGATAGATTGATAATTCTTCAATTTCTGGTTTAATTGTTTGTTAAGTCATTGTATCAACTACATGTGGGTTTTTTTTTTTTAAATTTTTTATCTAGGATTTAAAAAGAGAAAAAGGAAAAAAGAAGTGATTGTACTTGGCACATGGTCTTGGTAGAACTCAACCCAAAAGTTAGTTATAGTTATTGAGCTGAGGATGGTTATATATTACAGGTGTGATTACGCTTCACGCTCTCCTTTGTAAGTGCAGACTTGGACACGCACCTTACCCATCCTTGGGTATTATGACTCTATGTTAGATCACTCTTAGTCTTAAAAGTTTAAGTTGTTAACTTGGCAGGAATAAGCATAACAATACATGTATATATATATATATATATCAAGCTATCAAACAAGTACTAACATGTACAGATAGATGATTTTGTTTGTTTGATTTTAATTTAGATTTTTAAGTTAGGATCAGCTGCTTTCCGTACTACATTTCACAGCCTGTTGTGTTTAAACAGCACGAAAAGTGTGATTCTTCCCAAAAGAACAATAAAAAGCATGAGGTGTTAGATGATTCTGTTTTAACATGGGAAATGCATTACTACCGATGCTTAGGGATGGAATAAAGTACATGGAAAATAAAAGATTCGATACAAGTAAGAAATGGAAGTATCAATTATGGGATTTGAGGGTAAAATGCAAATTTGAGGACAAAAACAAAAACAAAAACAAAAACAAAAACAAAAACAAAAACAAAAACATTGCTATTACATATGAAAATGTCAACCAACAAATGAACAGAGAAAAGAAATCAAGAATAAAATAGAAAGAAAAGGAAGAGGGGGTTAGTGAAAAGGTAGACAATTAATTAAGAGAATGAAATGGTATTACTAATCAGGGGGTGAGGGGGCCAATGTGTGCATAATGGGAAATGAATATCAGTTTAAGTATTGTGCATGGTGAAACCATGCCAAAAATATTTTGCTATCTCAGTAACATGTATTTTCATGTTTGGGCTTGGGCAATCCTTCTTCTCTTGAGGGATTCAACTTGTGAAAGTAGAAGCCTGGTCAAGTAAATGAGAAATGAAACTTCAAATCTTGGTGAACAGCCTAGGCCTTCTACTACTTAAATGGAGTTGTGGTTGTTAAATCATATTTGCACACAACACATTAGAATGTAGCATGCTATTTCATTGGTTCTTCTCATTTTATTATCTCATATAAGAGATAATGTGTACATTAGCATATAACATGCTATTTTATTTAGGTTCTTGTCATTTATTATCACATTCTAGTTTCAATTAAAAGAATGTTGATTCCACATAATAATTTGTTAGCAATGTTTGGATTTTTCAGCTATTTTTCTCATCAAAGTGTTAGGAATACAACAGATCATTCTGCCACAAAATCTTCTAAATCTCCTGCATATCGCCGTAGGGGATTTTCTAAAGATCTAAATGTTGAACGTGTTCCTCACAACTTCACCCTGAATGTACCCACCAGGAGTGCTCCAACCAGTGTTTTCTCAAGTCCTGTTCCTAGCCCACAAAGATTTAGTTCTGTGGATCTTTTTCATTCCTCTTTATTGATTCCTCAAGAATTTCGGGTTTCATCAGCTGTAGAGGGACCAGTTTCCTCCCATTCTCCTTCCCAAATGTTTTCACCAAGACTTTCATGTACTCCTGACCATTCTCCACTTCATAGCCCAAAACTACAAAAGGCTAGCCAAAACACCAGAAATCTTGCTGGTGTTTCATTTCATTCACACCATAAATCACTCCCGGAAAGTTCTGCGGGATGGCCTGAAGGTAGTATTCATGCCAATCTGCATCCATTACCTCTACCACCAGGAGGTCTGAAGCCATCACAATCAACTACAACTCACAACATTATGGAAAGGCAAGATGTATCAACAATAAAAAGTAAATGGATAAAAGGCAAACTTATTGGACGAGGTACTTATGGCAGTGTTTATGAAGCAATCAATAGGTATGTGAATACTCTGAAGTGTTTTCTGCTTTCTGCTACTTGTTTCAGTTGCATTGAACATTACTTCCTTTTTTTTTATAATTATTTTTAATAGTGAAACCGGAGCTATGTGTGCAATGAAAGAAGTTGATGTCATTGGGGATGACCCTAAATCTTCAGAATGTGTTAAGCAGTTGGAACAGGTAATTTTGTCAAGCCTTTAGCTTATTAATTTATAGTATAATGTTGTATTCTAGCTTTACGGTTACTTGGATTCTCGATCAAGAAAAAAAGTTATTGGAGAGAAGGCATGCAATAAAAATGAAGGTTATAAGTATGGAGTTCAATCCAATGGTAGAGATTCTAATGTGGTTAATAGAGGCAATTGTCGTTCACCGTGGAAATCCATTTCTCGTTTGTATCCTCTTGTGTCTAATTTTTTTTCATTCAGAGTGGGGAATGGGGAGAATGTTCGGTTTTGGGAGGATGTTTGGTTAGGGGATATTTTGTTTGCTAGATCTTTTCCCCTTCTTTACAGGTTGGCTCGTTCTCCAAATGTGTCAAAAGCGTCGGTGGCTTGCTCGTCTATGGCACCCATCTCTTGGAATTTTGATCTCATTAGAAACTTGAATGATAGGGAGGCGGCATCTTTGTTGGTAGTGCTCGAGAGGGTTTCTTTTTCTTCGTCTTCTGATAGTACGGTGTGGAATCTTGTCTCTTCAGGGGTCTTTTTCTTGTGTCTAATTTTTTTTCATTCAGAGTGGGGAATGGGGAGAATGTTCGGTTTTGGGAGGATGTTTGGTTAGGGGATATTTTGTTTGCTAGATCTTTTCCCCTTCTTTACAGGTTGGCTCGTTCTCCAAATGTGTCAAAAGCGTCGGTGGCTTGCTCGTCTATGGCACCCATCTCTTGGAATTTTGATCTCATTAAAAACTTGAATGATAGGGAGGCCGGGGAGTTGGCATCTTTGTTGGTAGTGCTCGAGAGGGTTTCTTTTTCTTCGTCTTCTGATAGTACGGTGTGGAATCTTGTCTCTTCAGGGGTCTTTTCGTGCAAATCCTTTTTTGATAAGATTATTGATAATCCCTCGGTTCCCTTGTTCCCTTTTCATAAGGAAATTTGGAAAGCGAGTGTCCCTCATAAAGTGAAGTTTTTCATGTGGTCTTTGGCTCAAAAGGGTGTTACAACTAATGATGTTTTCCAGAGGAGAAGGCCTCATCACTCTTTATGCCCTCAATGGTGTGTGATGTGCAAGAGAAATTTGGAGGTAGCGGATCACTTTTTTCTTCATTGCCCGGTGGCTTTTGTATTATGGCAGCGTCTTTTCAGGTTATGTGATGTGTAGTGGGTTGCTCCATGGGAGTGTATGCATATGCTTCTTATTCGGTTTGACGGATTTGGGAGTATCAAGAAAGCCAAAACAATGTGAATAGGCATTGTTTTTGCTATTTTCTGGGTTATATGGTTGGAGAGAAATGCTCGAATTTTTCAAGGTGAGGAAGTAAGTGTAGAGGCTTTGTGGGATAGGGCGGAATATTTGGCCTCATTTTGGGCATTTGTATCTCCTCCTTTTAAAGGAGTCTCATTGTTTTTGATCTCTAGGGATTGGGCTGCTGTTTGCCATCCTTAGGGTTACAAGTTTTGCAATTTTGTTTTGCTTTTTCTTCTTATCTTTTTCTTTCTTTGTATGAGGATTTCTTGTTTTCTTTCTCTTTCCCGTTTTAATAAAATTTTGTTGTTACTCAAAAAAAAAATAAAAATAACCATAACTTGGGGTTAAGGCTTGTATGTTTCCATGATACTTTGTCCGTGTAACCTCTTTCTCAATAACTTTTCATAGTTTTGTTGTTACTGCAGTTACTCATTTTGTGTTGGGTCATATGGTCCTAAAAGTTCAATAATTTTGCTTTGTCTCTGAAGATTATTATTTATATTTATGTTATGTTGGTTGGTACCCAAGTTTCTTCGATATGAATTGTATCTGTTTGACGAAAGGACCCCATCATGTTTGACACCTGATGCGATTGAAATAGGTGTACTTAGCTAAAAACTACAGGCTCGGTAGATGATTCTTTGGCTGGGTCTGTGTTATGCATAGGATATGAATTCCCAAGACAATCTCTCATCCATGGATCCTCTTATTTTGACTTCTACAAGCCTTGGAGTTCAACTATCTGAAGAATAAAATTTAGTATTTCCCTGATCCAATGCCTGCATATATCAACTTAATGTTGGTAATGTTGGTTTGGGATGTTTTAAAAAAGTGTACTTTTTGACTTATTGACTTATATGAGTTGGGTTTGGGTTGGGTTTGATGTGATGCGTTAGAGAGGTGATGTGATTTAAATAAGATGATGTGACTTAAATAGGATAGTGACTTTTTGACTTTTTGTATTATTTAGTTTATGCCAAACCAACCCATTCAAACTTAGGTGAGCTGCTAAGTCCCATCCACCCACTCCCATTATTTATATGTTATGCTTCTCTCTTATTTTTCCCCTTTCGTTGGAATTAAGATAAAAATGAAAGCTTGGCAATTAACAAAAGGAACCAGATTTTTTTGGGGAGAAAACTGAAGACTACTAGACTTCCCATCTATGATCTTCATTGCTGAGCCAGTAGCTCAAGAGTGACCAATGCTAGATTACTGATTCTTGAGACTGTTTGAAAGATAAAATAAAGATGCAGAATAGCCCTAATTGGATAACATAGCTCAAAACAGTTGTGTACACTTCTCTGTTCATGTTGCAGGTTGAATAGCATGCAGAAATTATGTTCTAAATAGCATATGTGTTTCACTTTACTGCTTCTCAAATTATTGTTATTTTTTTAAATATTTGTTGTTTTCCTTGTGTTTTTCTATTGTTTTAGGAAATTAAAGTTCTCCAACATTTAAAGCATCCAAATATTGTGCGGTACTATGGCTGTGAAGTGGTGAGATTCTTGGTTTCATGCTGTCCTCTAGCAGCCAGATTTGACTGAGCATAGTTGATTTCCCACATTCAATTCATTTGAAGAACACTGTTTCCTGTGCAGCTTGAGGAGCGCTTTTGCATATATCTGCAGTATGTTCACCCGGGATCAATAAACAAATATGTCCGTGATCATTGTGGAGCTGTTACAGAATGTGTAGTTCGTAATTTTACCCGCCATATTCTTTTAGGGTTGGCTTACTTGCATAGCAGAAAGACAATCCACAGGTGATGGTTATGCTTCATAAGAATGGATAAATGTAGATAGTGGTTGAAAATCACAAGTCTAACATCTATTTTGACAATCACATTACTTATGGTATAAAATGCTATGTTAAAATTTATGAGAGGCAATCATGGTTGTAAAAGAAAAAACTGAAATTCTTGCAGTTTTGTCTCCAATGAGTATGAGAATATTGTTTGTCTTCTATTTCTATGTGGTTCAACGAATAACGTTGTTGGCAAATCTGATGAATTTCCACGACTCAATGATTTCTGGTAGTTTATGTTGATATAGTGTTTTGATGACTCGAATGATTGTTTTAAACAGGGACATTAAAGGTGCAAATTTGCTTGTCGATTCATCTGGTGTTGTCAAGCTTGCTGACTTTGGGTTGGCAAAACATGTGAGCTTATATTCTTTCAACATCTATCAATTTTTTATCGACTGATATTTTATTTATGCTGATCTTTTTTTTTTTAGAAATTTTTTGAAGCTATGCTCTTGGCTGTTATTTTAACGACTACCACCTTTTTTCTATGTGCCTTTTTTTCCCTCCTCACTCAACATTTTCTGCATATCTAGATGCTAAAAATTTAGAACCTCTTTTTTTATAAGTAAGCCCCACTCACACCCATGTCCCGTCCGGTAGTCCGGGACTTTAACCCTGCACTTTCCCTTGGGCTAACATCTTGTGATGGCAAATCAGAAAGAGTAATGTTCTGCAGATGTGACAAATGGTCTGACTGGGGCTGTCAGCTCTACTCTTGCATGCGATATTTTTCATTTCAACTGCTCCACTCCTCCTTTTGTCCTAACATTTCAGCTTTTCATTGTATACAGCTTTCGGGATGTACCATTGATCTTTCTCTGAAGGGAAGTCCCCATTGGATGGCTCCAGAGGTATCTCACATTGCATTTAATTATGATTCTATAGATAGCTCGTAGTAATTCTTGACACTAGATTTTTTTTCCCCGGCAGGTTTTGCAGGCTGTGATGAGGAAAGATTCCAATCCTCGGCTTGCTTATGCTGTTGATATTTGGAGCCTGGGTTGTACAGTTATTGAGATGCTGAATGGTAGACCTCCTTGGAGCGAGTTTAATGGGGTGAGCATGTGATTTAGTCTGTTATGCTTTACTATTGCTTCTTAAAGTTTGTCTACATGCCCACTGTGTGCTGTTTTTTCGTGTGAATTCATCCTCTCTGGAGTTGCATGAACTTTCTGAAGAATATCTGATAAGATCATTTTTCTTGTTATCATATTTATTACCCTATTCCTTTTGAAAGAATTAGGGCCATCTTGGGAAAGCAAAAATAGGGTGGAAGGCTACTGTGTGTCTATGAGATTGCAAGTAAGGTGCATGTTAAGAAAGCTGCTTTTCTGGTTCTTCTCCAAGATGAAAATTTATGATATTATGATGTTCGTTTACTCAAGTGCCAGATTAAGCCTGTTGCTGGAGCTACAGTATTGGGTTTACTGGAATTGCAAGAGAATGATTTGGCGAGTACATCCATTGTGAAAAATGTTTCAATTCTCTTTCATTGCTTCTAGAATGTTAGAAAACTAAGACTTAAACATGTAGTTTGCCATGATTAATAGGTGCTATGCCTTCAAATTTTTTGTTCTAGATTTGATAGTTGAGATTTGCCTACTACTCAAAACCCTCTAGAAAGTTAGGTGTGAATCATGTAGGATGAATTTAGGAAACTTTGTCAATTCTGCTTACTTTGGGGTTTGTGGTGGATTTAGGTTATGGAAGTTTCTATGTTTGGGGTTCTAATGTGTAGAAGAAAGCTTATTGGGGTTTTCAATGAAAAAAGAGAGAATTGTCTTGATATTCAGAAGGCAAGCTGTGAGATTTTAAAAATGGCCATCAGGAGGACCGGATAATTGTAACTTTAGGGGTTTAAAACTATGTCTAGTTTAGTCCTATTGCGTAAGGGTTTGGGATCAGTGGATTGGTTACAGACCTAACCTTTGACAATATTTGCACGAAGTAGCTACAATATGGGTCACAGGCTGAAATCAGTGCTGTTCTGTGGCTTTGTATGGTAAATTGGTAATTGAGAATAATACTTGAGTTATTCATGTTGATAAGGAGGAGGATAAGAAGCACTTTTTTTACTTTTATTTTGAGAAGCACTTCACCCTTGCTAGGGTTAATCAAATTCACACAAACACAACCCCAAATTTTCGTGTACTCAATTCCATCAAAATGAAAAAAAGAAGAAAGAAGAAGAATTGCATAATATTTATAGGCAGATGGACTAACCCCTAATTTTAATAAAACTGTGATGCATCAGACATAATGAAGTGATTCAATTCTCAAGAATATCCAAATGTTTTCTTATCCTTTTGCTTATTGTACAAGTAGCTTTGTGAGGAGAAAAGTATGAGATGTCTCTTTACATGTTGTCAGACTATAGTAGTTAATTGTTCCATTGTGTCCTATCCACTAGGTACAAGCAATGTTCAGTGTTTTGAACAAATCACCACCTATTCCAGAAACATTATCTTTGGAAGGAAAGGATTTCCTCCGGTTGTGCTTTCAGAGAAATCCTGCGGACCGACCATCTGCTGCTAGGCTACTTGAGCATTCCTTTTTGCAAAGTTCACATGATCAAGATGTTTTGGGTTGCGCACGAGAATTGTTTGGAATGAAACTAATGGTAAGGGCCAAATTCCAGTATATGTTGGTTACATCCATGCATGAATCCTAATATCTCTCTCTAGTTTTTCCTTTTTTCAGTTTTTCTTTTTTTCTTCTATCTCGTGTGTGTGTGCCCTCAAACCATTGTGCAATCTAGCATAATAAAAGTTTCTTTTCTTTTTTCTTTCTTTTTTTTGCTTTACTTATTAAAATTTATTGGATTTCAGGATACATCACATAGTCCAAGAGACGGGACAAAAAATCTGAAGGGTTCATCACCAATCTCGCCAGGTGCCTGGATGAGGCAACTGCCGTGTAATGGGTAGGTTTGTAACTTGTTTCCATACCATAGAACTTAGACCACGGTCCTGTTTGGTGCAACTTATGGCTGTTTATAGCAGCAGCTTCTTCTTTATTTATTTATTTATTTTTTATAATTATATATATTTTGGAAATCTGATTATTGAGAAGTAGGAAAAATAGTGCTTTTAGCTTCTATTTTCTTATTATCAGCTTTCTACTTGCAATAAGTCATATCAAACAGGCCTCATGTTTGTAAAACGTGTTAAATTTGTGATTTTGCTGTTGCATGTCAATTGTATGTGGCTTATGTTTGAAAAAAATTTCCCAGTGAAACTTCCCCGAAATCTTATCCTGAAAGCCCGGAAACCGGAGTAGCATCCCGACACTCTCCTCGTTCTACACTGGATGCCCTTCCTAGTATGACTTCATCAGAGTTGTTCCACTGCAGGTCACATTTTGGTAGCCCCCCTTCCGCATTTGGTCCAAACAATTTGCACCTTGCACCCGGGAACAACAGTCAACATACTTCTCCAAGGGCACACAGAAGGGAAATCCCACACCTCTGAGATTTATTTGTGATTTACAAAGGATGGATCGGGGAATCGAATCTCTCTTGTATAGCCGAGGAAACAGAACTCTATTGTACAGGTGTGAAGAAGCCGGCAAATGGCTACAGTATTTTTTTTTCCCATTTGGGGCTATGGGATTTCAGTATGCATTTCAACACGGTTGTTGTTGCTGATTTTGAAGTTACAGAAGCAATTTTTTTATCAGCAGACCAATTCAGTCGGTCACTGTTGTACACTTTGTTGGGCGAATACAGAACACACAGATGAAACTTCATGCTAACACGAAAGAAGAATGAAAAAGGAACATACTTTTTAATCAGGAGTAGGTGTGACAAAAAAATTATTAGACTTTTAGATGACATTGTATTTGTACATGTTGTGGGGTATTTTTTTTTTGGGTAATTGAAATCCTTTCTGAGCATACTTCTATTTCAGTCACTCTCTTTTTCTGCTGTTGTATTGAAGCGAGCAAAATGTATAATGACAGTCATTACTGCTTGAGGCTGCCTTGTGTAATCTACTTATAAATAATTGCAGTTGGGCTTCGTGGTTAGGTTCTTTGTTTTTCGTTTGTTGACCATTCTTAATCTTGTTGACACCAAAACAATAAAATATTTGTGTTTTTATTTTTTTTATAAAGTACATAATTTATTTTTATTTTTATTTTTTTAAATAACTTACTTTTAATAAATTCAAAAAAATTATTTAAAAATTTTGAGAATTCTTATTTTACAAAAATAAAAATGATATGAAAGTCACTTCTGGTTCTGGTTTCAAAATTTTCATTTTTAAAAACCCAACACATCAATTTAAAATGTAAAATGTAATTAGCTCAAAATCAAAGACAAAAATACACACACAGGATCCATATTTTAAAATTTAAAATGTAATTAACTCAAAATTAAATAAAAAATTTCGGGGGTCTACTTCTGCGTTGCTGTCGGTGTAGTCTCTCTTGTCTTGTTCAACTTCAAAAAGAAGATGCCGGTTGTGAGGCACCGGTAACTGCCTCAACTCAAGATCGAGAGGTGATCGGTGATCTTCTTCCTTCGTGTCTCCGCCAAAAGATACAGAGAACTCGACAATCTTTCCAAAATTTGGCTTGATACTATTAGGGCTGAAGGACAGAAACTTGAACGCATTTTGGTTCTTTGTAATCCAAATTTTCCCTCTTCTTCTCCCTCTATTGTGAGAGATTCGAATACTGATCCACTCAATCAGAGCTCGCAAACACTTGCAATCCGCATTCTATTCTTCTTCTTATGGATATAGGTATGTTTTTGAATTACACACCATTTAGTTTGAATTAAAAAGTGAAATCTGTGTAAGGCTTTTTTTTTTCTTTTTTTTCGAGAACTCCAAAATTGTTCAAGAAATATACACATCTTCACAGTTTTAATTCATTTTATATTAGCTTCAATTCAAGGAAAAAAATGGTGAAGTTACTTGAAAGTTTGAAAAGGTATACGAACACACAAACGTAGAAAATGTGTATATGAAGAAACTTTTTTTCTTTTTTTCATTTTTTTTGGGTATCCCTGGTGATGTTTTAAAGGGGTCATCCACTAATTGATCGAACAGACTTGAAAAGAAAATGAAATTAAAGAAGCCTTCGATTTATGCTTTATGCTTTATTCTTTATGCCCTCCCACTGTTTGATAAAAAAATACCCAATTTGAAGTTGGAAATACCCTATCTTATTCACTGGAGCTCTCATTTGTCTAATCTTTTTTTAGTATGATTTCAATAAGAGATTTGAAGTTGGAAATTGGATAAACAACAAATCAGTATATACGAAAATTACACATTTCTTTGGTGCATAACTTTTACCAATATTTGTTGTTCGGTTGTAATCTTTGGCCATTTCGCAAGTCAGACATTCTGAACAGTAAACACTCTTATCTCTGACATCCAGTTTTGGGCCATTTATTAGTTCACAGAACTGAGCTGAAGAACAAATAAAATTTTAGAAACTTTTGATACTGCCCTTCGCAGTTATACTCACACAGTTGCACTTTTTTTATTACAAGAGTTGTGAGGTTATAAAGTAATTATGCTCATTATAGTTATTTGTTGCTTGATGAGATTCACTTGAAATTATAGTGGAGGGATTATCACGCAATTCAGTTTTCTTTACTGCAAAATTTTCGTTTTGTCACTTAGCCTGACATTTGGTTAGGCCACAGTTTACATATGTGAACATAGTCCCACTCATTAAAGCCTTGTTCTTGTATACACCTTTTCTTGCCTCATGTAGTCCTTTGCCATCCCTTGTGAATCCTTTGCGTATGAGTGAAAATTTGCAATTCCTTAGGCTATGTTTGGTTCATAGATTTGGAGAGGGATTTTGAAAGGGAAAGGGGAAAATGTGTGTGAAACGTAGGTAAAATGTAGTTATATTTCATTCATATTTCACCTACCTTTTTCCTTTTCCTTTCCAATTCCCTCCCCAAATCTATGAACCAAACACAGCCTTAATGTAATGTGACCGAGAAAGTGCCATCTCTGGTTAAAGTTGGGTTTTTCATTAGCATGTCAATTTTGTGTCAATCTAAGGGAGCAAAGTTACGTCCCAAGACAAATGGGAGAACATTTCTTAGTTTCTATATCAACCAGTTTGGGTCCTGTTTTTAGTGCTGAAGAAGTTTTTCACATAATCACTATAATCTATGTTGTTTTTCATGAAAGAGAAAAAATATGCAGTTGATATTTCCTTTGATCCTTCTACTCTATGAGGTTTAGCTTTTTATACTACAAGGATATATTGGCACACTTGGTTTTAGCACATTTCATAAAGTTGTTATAGTTACTGAAAGAAAATGTTAGCTAAAATGTTGAACCATTGAAGTTACCCGTGGTCTTGGGGTATCTCTACAGCCACTGCTTCTTGAAGTCACATTGCAACAAAAGACCAAACCAGGCCAAGCCTTAAGTCCCATCAAATGGGGTTGGCTACATTGCAACAAAAGACTCCTTGGGAAAAACTTAGCTACACTTACAAGAAGGCTTCTGGCATCGACTGATACCCTCTAACACTTGTTTAGCACCTTTGCAAGTTTTGCTATATTCCATATCTTCCTGGCTCTCGTATACTTTTGTTTCTTTTTTTCAGTGAATGGGGCAAAGATGGAACCTTCTCCAAGTTTAATCAATAAGATCTATGGTGCCTTCTCTGATGGTGTACATTTTGTGACACCAATCTCCTCTTTGAGGACATATGAAGTTGACTTGGTAAGCTTATTTCATAATACATCTAACCAATAAAACTGTTGGATTATCTTATCCATGTCCTTCCACATCTTAGTTTCTCTCTCTCTCTCTCTCTCTCTCTCTCTCTCTCAAATTTCAGGTACGAGGTGTGTTACATATATTACAAGGTTTTTCCAGTTCTTTATTTTTTTGGGACAACGTCAGACAGAATTTTCATGCCAAAAGTGGGATATATGTTACTCATCTTTCGCAGACAAGTCTTCATGTCATTCTTAATCAATTTGTGTATGCTGCAACATGTCTAAAACGGGTAGAAATTATAGTCAATGAGGTGGAGGCATCTGCCAGATTACCTTCCCCTACTTTGAGGGCATTTGCATGCTCTGTTTCAGCTTGGCTTAAAGTATATATCTTCAACCAAGTGTTGAATCAATTTTTTTTAATTTCTTTTTTGATTTCTCATTTTTTCTATTGTAGTATGGACTTCATTCCTTTTAACTGACTTGTTTTTGAGCAGAGATTACGAGATATAGCTTTGAAGGAGGAAGTATATATAAACAACTATGACGGTGGAACTGCTCCAACTCTCTTGGGTTTGTCAAGTTCTTTATCAAGGTTTGTGCAGGTTTGCTTGCAAAAGTTTTGGATTTCAGGATATGAGTAGTTGTGGCAGTCTTGGCCTTGCTGGCAGAAACTAATATCACTTCAAGCTCTTCTACTTTGAATAGAGATGAGCTTGGACTTCTCTGTTAGAAAGTTACTAATTTTCTAATATTGGCCAAAGGAGTCTCCCATTCCATGGCAGAGTTGTAGACTGAATATGTTTTGGTCCTTTGCATTTGCACTATTCATCTTTCATGTAGCAAGGATTTGTTGCTGTTGCTGCTGCTTATTATAATTATTATATTATTATTTTTCATTTGTTTGTATCAACTGAGAATTTATGTGCTATTTATATGAACAACTCATTTATGGGACTGAACCTGTTTTTGCTTTGTTCTTCCTGTTATGGATATATCTGATGCTGCCTTTTTTTTACTAGTATTTGCTCAGGTGCAGAATATTTACTGCAAATCGTGCATGGAGCCATTCCTGAAGTATTTTTTGGGCCTGATTCTTCTGTTCCGGCTGCTGAAATTGTTGTTCATATTCTTGACCATCTTTACAAGAAGCTCAATGAAATTTGTCCCGTGCAAGGTGGTGAGGTTGTGATATTTCCCTGGCTGCATGTATTTTCATTCTTAATTTTCTATGGTTGTCTCCATTAAATGTGATTCATATCTAGCGCTGATGCTCATTTCAGGAGGATGCATACCGGATGCTGCTTTATATATTTGTTGGGAGTCTGTTGCCATATATTGAGGGTCTTGATTCCTGGCTTTTTGAAGGAACACTTGATGATCCCTTTGAGGAGGTAATCATTGGAAATTGTATGATATCTCGGAGTTTGTACCAAGTTTTTCAAAGATACCTTCAAAAAATCTCTATTTTTTGCATTGTGGAGCATCCTTTGCAGAAATTTACCCATACAGGTTCCTCCATGCTAAATTGAGTACATAAATTTTGCATCTCTGCTTAGTTAGCATCTGTATGAGTGCAATGATTGATCCATTGTATTTAGCACTTAATCACTCTCTGCTATCTTTCTTTTCCCCCCTCCTTTTTGAATGTTTCCAAACCATGTGTTTCTGATTCTTGATCCGATGAAATTAATTTTTGTTTAAAAAATTGCTACTACCATCAACAAAGTGATTTTCTACTCCTAGAATTTTATTTTTTAAAAATGTTTGTCCTTCTCATACCACCTCTACATTCTCATACCAGATGTTCTTTTATGCTAACAAAGCAATTTCTGTTGATGAGACTGATTTTTGGGAGAAAAGCTATCTGTTGAGAAGAATAGCTTATCAAAAGCGTGACGTTGCTTGTGCCTCTAATCGCATACCTTTAATGAATGATAAGAAGGAAATGACAGGAAGAGAACCAAATTCTCTGTCTAGCTCGATAAAAGGACAAGAACAGAACAATAGAGATGTTCAAATCTGTCCTCTGTTTATTAAGGAAATAGCGTCAGCTATTGTTTCAGCTGGAAAATCATTGCAGCTCATCCGACATGCTCCTAAAAATTTTAATGTCATCTGAAGAGCGGATATTATAGAAATTGGTGATTTGCGGAAGTTTTACCAATAATAATGATTCGAGTGAGACTTGTGATGGGCGGAGCATGGATGGGTTAACCTTGTCAGAGGTATTTTGTGTATCATTAGCAGGTCTTGTTGGGAATGGTGATCATATCTCTAAATACTTCTGGCAAGATGAGCCATTAAACTCCAAAATTGCCCCTTTGTTTCAACTTTTTGTGGACAAGCACAAACTTGAAGGAGGGAATGGTGAGAACTTGCCAGCCATAACATGTTCAGAGAAGGTTTGGTATAGGTTCTTGGTTGATACATTCTGTCCAAAAAGACAGATCAATTCAGAATCTGCTTCTAAGGATGCTACCAGCTGTCTTAACGTGAAAGAAAAAAATATTGCTGCAGGTGGCATGGATGATTTTCCCCTTGTGAACTCATTCTGTCCTGAAAATCCAGTCATCGCTGTATGCCACAGCTCCCTTCTTGAGAATAAGGATGCATGGAGTGCATTGAACTTGTCTGAAAGTTTCTCTCTTCCGCCTCTTAATGATGAGGGCTTAAGAAATGCTATTTTTGGTGGGAAACACGAACCATTTCTTGCAGCTAAAGGAACAAACTATACTTTTGGTTTTCAGTTTGGTGAATCTGAACATATTCGTTCACAGGATGACACAAAGATGTTAGAAGTCTTATTTCCATTTCCAACTCTTCTTCCTTCTTTTCAGGTACTGCTGGATTAAAGTTCTCAGACCTGTTACATTACATAGCTATAGCTTTTATAGCAGATCCTAGTTTTCCAAAACTAAGTTGAAATTTTGAAACAGGAGGACCTCTATATGTCAGAGTTCTTACCTTTCCAGAAAAATAGCACTCTTCCATCCAGAGTTCTTAACTGGATTCAAAGTGTTGAACCAAAAGCTACTCCACTTCCTATGGTTATTCTATCTGATGCTGCCTTGTTGTCTATATCAAGAAGCAGGTAAGTGGCTTTCATCCCTATTTACAGAACTTTAGTTTCTATTCTCCTACTCCTACGTGTTTTTGTAACAAAAAAATTATTTCTATGGAATGCAGGTTGATTATATCGGCAGGAATATATTGTCAAAGTTACTTTATGAATGGAGACTGATGGACGAACTGGGAGTATTACGTGCTATATACTTGTTAGGTTCAGGTATTTTCTAAATTTTAAACTTTTGAATTTTCTGTGCTTTGGTATGTTGGTCAGTTGCCATTCTCAATTTCTGTTTTGTGACAATTTGCAACCTTGCTTATCCAGGTGATTTGCTACAGCACTTCTTGACTGTGATTTTTGACAAGCTGGATAAAGGAGAAACCTGGGATGATGATTTTGAGTTGAACATGATATTACAGGTACATTGCTCAAATTAATATCTTAGTCCTACTATGCCTGGTGGGCTAGATTGTTCCTTCTTTGTGTATCTATTCTATTTGGGTCATATCTTTTATATATTAGTCTTCTGTTAAGCATTAGTCTATGGGGTAAATTACATTTGCTTCCCCTAAGATTTCCTGGGGTAAATTACATTTGCTTCCCCTAAGATTTCTGACAAATACAGGAACCTCCCCTGTAGTTTCAATAATTATAGAAACCTTCCATATTTTTCTTGACAATATCAAGATTCCTCCACCCTGTTAATTTAGCACAAACGGTGCTAATTTACTATCCAAAATTGCCATATTACCCCTTTGAATTGAGCTGGAAAATGAAAATTATCAAATAAACCAACAAGCTATTTAAATGAAATTTTTCACTCACCTCTCTTAAGGTTTTTCATATATATTATTAAAGACCCATGCATATTTTAACATAATACCTTAATAATTTAATATAAGATCCTAATAATATAATACGTGTAAGACTTATTTCACACTATATAAACAACGAAAAATTTATCAATTTTAATTAATACATTTATTATTTATTTATTTTTTTTTTAAAGTTGAAACAAATGGATTATTATTTTTTTTTTCCAACAATTTGTCCTACTTACTTATTCATATGCAAAAAAATTATTTATCTCTAAATTGTTAAGACATTATTAAAGTATTTAATAAAAAAACTTAGTTTTTAGTGATAAAATACTTAAAAACAAATAGTCTCTCTAAAATTAATATTAGATTATATCTTAATAATTTAATGTAAGACTTATTCCACACTACATAAACAACGTAAAATTTATTATTTTAAGTATGCATTTATTATTATTATTATTATTTTTTTAAAAGTTGAAGTAAAATGGATTTATTTTTTTGGATAATTTGCATTACTTATTTATTCATATGTACAAACATTATTATTTTATCTTTTCTCAATCATATATTGTTCTCAAATTTTAATTTTTATCTTTGGGTCATTAAACTTCTAGTCGATGCATATTTAAAACAACATAGGTTAATATTTTTACATGATTAAAAAAATAAATATAGAAGTAAAAAAAAGAATTACCTCTTTTGGAGGGAGTGGTGGGAGGAGTTATATGGGTTGTGTTTTCTAAATTGGTGTTTAGGAGGGGATTTCAATGTGGTTTGGAAGGTCTCGGAAAAGATCACTGGGAATAGGATCAATAAGGGAATGAGGGATTTTGATGGATTTATTAGAGGGTGTGAGTTAATGGATCCTCCTCTCTTTAATGGATCCTCCTCTCTTTAATGCTAGGTTCACTTGGTCAAATTTGCAGGAAAATATGGTATGTTGTAGATTGGATAGATTTTTATTCTCGTTGGGATGGAAGGGGATAGACGCAGGAATGGGGTAGGAATCATAGTTGCCAAGGGTCTTGTGGAAAGTGTGGTGGCCGTCACTAGGAATGGAGATAGGATTATGCTAATTAAACTAGTTATTGGAGGGAATATAGTGAATATTATTAGCGCTTACGCGCCTAAAGTAGGGTTAGATGATCAGACTAAGAGGGATTTTTGGGAGCAAATGGATGAGATCTTATAGGAGATATCCGTTGGAGAGAACCTGGTTATAGGTGGAGATTTTAATGGCCATGTGGGCATAGATAAAGCAGGTTATGAAAGGGTGCATGGTGGATACGGTTTTGGTGACAGAAATGAGGCTGGAGAGAGAATCTTAGATTTTGCGTTGGCTTCTGACCTGGTGGTGGCCAATACTATGTATAAGAAGAGGGAGGAGCATTTGATAACTTTTAAGAGTGGATTAGTTAAGAGCCAAATAGATTATTTCTTAGTGAGAATAGTGGATTGCCTAAAATGCAATGATTGTAAGGTGATTCCTGGTGAGAGTCTGGTCTCTCAACATAGGATTTTGGTACTAGATTTATGTTTTAGAGGGCAATACCAAGTTAGGAAGGATGGTGGGCGTCGTAGGACAAGATGGTGGGACTTAAAAGGGGATAAACTAGAAATATTTAAGAATCGAATGGATAAGGAAGGTACTTGGGACTTAGAAGGTGATGCTAACACTATGTGGAATTCGATGGCCAATTGTATGAGGAGAATCTCAAGGGAAGTGCTTGGAGAGTCGAAAGGAACGGGATCCAGCTTTAGGGAAACTTGGTGGTGGAGGGAAGAGGTCCAAGCGGTAGTTAAGGCAAAAAAAGAGTGCTTTAAAAAGTGGCAGAAGGATAGGACTGAGGAAAACCTTAAGAGCTATAGATTGGCTAATAAGGAGGTCAAGAAAGTAGTGAGAGAGATTAAGTTGAAAGTTTATGATGACCTATACACTAGACTAGATAGTACGGAGGGAGAGAAGAGGGTATACAAACTTGCTAAGATACGGGAGAGGAAAACAAGAGATTTTAATCAAGTAAAGTGCATCAAGAGTGAGGATTCTAAGGTATTGGTGAAAGATGATGAGATTAAGGAAAGATGGAAGAATTATTTTGAGAAATTGTTAAATGAGGAACATGGAAGTACGACAATAGGGGAAGAAATAATCAGTAATACGATAAACCAAGACTATAGGTTCTATCGCAGGATTAGGACCTTTGAAGTAGAGATTGCACTTAAGAAGATGAAATCAAATAAGGCTTTAGGACCTGATGATATCCTTATTGAAGTTTGGAAGTGTTTGGGTAAAAATGGAGTTGCTTGGTTGACTAGGTTGTTTAGCAAAATTTTGTTGACTAGGAACATGCCAGATGAGTGGAGGAAGAGTATTTTAGTGCCAATCTATAAGGATAAAGGTGATGTCCAGAATTGTAACAACTATAGAGGAATTAAGCTAATGTGTCATATAATGAAAGTGTGGGAGAGGGTGATAGAACGCCGATTGCGAGACATAACAGAGGTGTCAGAGAATCAATTTGGGTTTATGCCTGGTAGGTCAACAATGGAAGTGATCTATCTTTTGAGGAGAGTAATAGAAAAGTATAAAGAAAAGAAAAGAGACATTCATATGGTGTTTATCGACCTTGAGAAAGCATATGACAGAGTGCCCCGAGATATAATATGGTTGGCGTTAGAGAAGAAAGGGGTGACAAAAGGCTACATTGATGTGATTAGGGACATGTATGAAGAGGTGGTGACCACTATTAGATCGCCAGCTGGAGAAACAAATGAATTTCCTATCACTGTAGGGTTACACCAAGGACCTACCTTAAGTTCTTATTTTTTTGCTTTAGTTATGGACGAGTTAACGATAAATATTCAGGATGACGTGCCATGGTGTATGCTTTTTGCAGACGTTATTGTGTTAGTGGATGAGACTAGAGAAGGAGTTCACACAAAGTTGGAGATTTGGAGAAAAGCTCTTGAATCTAAAGGATTTCGGATAAGCAGAACTAAGACAGAGTACATGGAGTGTAAATTTAGTAACAGTAACAATGAAAGCAGAGGAGAAGTGAAGATTGAGAACCAAGAACTGCCTAAGAGTGAACATTTTCGTTATTTAGGGTCGATTATCACAACAACGGGAGAGATTGATGCAAATGTGGCCCAGAGGATTAAGGCGGGATGGTGTAAGTGGAGAAGTGCGTCTAGGGTATTGTGCGATGAACGAATACCCACTAGACTAAAAGGTAAGTTCTATAGAACGGCTATTAGACCAGCTATGTTGTATGGGACGGAGTGTTGGGCAACCAAGAAACAACATGTAGATAAGATGAGTGTGGCTGAGATGAGGATGCTAAGGTGGATGTGTGGTAAGACTAGACAGGACAGGATTAGGAATGAGTGTATTCGGGAATGGGTAGGAGTAGCACCCATAGAAGATAAGTTGAGAGAGAATCGTTTGAGATGGTTTGGTCATATTCAACGGAGACCAACAGAGGCAGTAGTGAAGAGATGCGATGTTGTAACGGTAGATGGAAGTGTTAGGGGACGGGGTAGGCCTAGATTAACGTTGACTAGCGTTATAAATAGAGATATGAATCTACTTAATTTGACTAATGAAATGGCCTTTGATAGGGCTGCGTGGAGAAGAAGGATTCATGTAGCCGACCCCATTTGATGGGACTTAAGGCTTGATTTGGTTTGGTTTGGGATGGGAGGGGATTTTCCCCGATGTGAGACAGGAGACATTACCAAGATTAGTTTCTGATCATTGCCCCATTGTGATAGAGAGTTGTCCTTTTAAGTGGGGACTGACTCCCTTCAGGTTTGAAAATATGTGGTTGGACCATCACTTTTCAAGGAAAATTTTGCGGGATGGTGGCATAATGTTAGATGTCATGGGTGGGAGGGTTTTAAATTCATAAGAAAATTGAAGATGATTAAAGAGGATGCGAAGAGCTGGAATAGGGAGGTTTTTGGAAACTTGGAGGCTTCAAAATCTCAGGTTGAGCGTAGGATTAAGGAAATTGATGCAAAGGAAATGTAAGGAGAGATGGATGGGTCAATGAAAAGAGAAAGAAATGAGTTAAGATTGAAGTTGGAGGAGTTGATTTTTAGGGAGCAGACTTTTTGGGCCTAATAGGCAAAGGTAAAATGGTTAAAAGAGGGGATTATCTGCTCAAAAAAATTTCACAAGATGGTAGATAGGAAAAGGAAGAAGTTTATCAGAAGATTGGAGGTTAGTCCGGGGGTAGTGGAAGAAAGGGAAGATCATATAGTCAAGCAGATCTTTGATTTTTATTCTAAGCTATATTCGAAGGATGAGTTGGTTAGACCAGGGATAGAAGGACTTGAGTGGGGTTCTATTGATCAAGCATGTGCAAGTTGGTTAGAGAGACCTTTTGAGGAATCGGAGATAAGAAAAACGGTATTTGATTGTGAAAGAGACAAAGCTCTAGGTCCTGATGGTTTCTTCATGGCTGTCTTTCAAGATTGCTGGGAGGTGGTGAAAGATGATTTGTTTAGAGTTTTTAAGGAATTTCATGATACGGGAGTGGTTAACTTGTGCTCAAATGCGACTTTCATTTGTTTAATTCCTAAAAGAGAAGGAG